TCCTCCTCAACTTTTCCTTATCTCCTTCTCTTCCTCCTCCTTCTCATCTCCTTCTCCTTATCATCTTTTCCTCCTCCTCCTCATCTTTCTTCCTCCTGCTCCTTCTCCACATTTCCTCCTCATCTTCTTGTCTTTCTTCTTCCACTTCTTACTGAGCCATCTGAATGGCAGAATTTATATCGATAGCATATTTGGATTTATTTTTTTTTCCCAGGGGGGTGCCAGTTTGGGGCACTTTGGATCCCCACTTCCCTCCTGAACCCAGGTGGTTTGGAGAATCTGGTGATAACCCGTGGCTTACTAACCTGTTGCAAGAAAGAGATCTTGAGCTGTCTTCTGGATGGTAATAGCCCGCAAAAGGTACCCTTTAACATTAGCGTTTTTAAAATACCTTAAGCATAATTATTCCAGCACAACATAGACCATTACACAAAGCTGGGTGAACATCAGGGCCTAAGTTATGGATGACCAGTTCATTAACTTGGAGAGCAATTGGCTTTTCAGTCCAGATTCTGTAGATACGTTCAAATTCCATATACAAAATTCAAGTTTAAAAACTATTTTTAAGATTGAGCCTTGTCCGTGGACTGACGTTCCTCATTTCCCAAAAGAAGCTGCCTTACATAGAATAGAATAGAATAGAATAGAATAGAATAGAATAGAATAGAATAGAATTCTTTATTGGCCAAGTGCGATTGGACACACAAGGAATTTGTCTTGGTGCAAATGCTCTCAGTGTACATAAAAGAAAGGCTACATTCGTCAAGTCAAGAATCATAAGTTACAATACATAGTAATAGTCATAGGGTATAATAAGCAATCAAATCATACTAGGAAACAGTCAATATAAATCATAAGGATACAAGCGACAAAGTTATAGTCATACAGCCACAAGTGGGAGGGGATGGGTGATAAGGAGTGATGAGAAGATTAATAGTAATAGTAGTGCAGACTTTGTAAATAGTTGGACAGTGTTGAGGGAATTATTTGTTTAGCAGAGTGATGGCATTCGGGGAAAAACTGTCCTTGTCTCTAGTTGTTCTAGTGTGCAGTGCTCTATAGCGTCATTTTGAGGGTAGAAGTTGAAACAGTTTATGTCCAGAATGGGAGAGGTCTGTAGATATTTTCACAGACCTCTTTTTGACTCGTGCAGGATACAGGTCTTCCATGGAAGGCAGGTTGGTAGAAATTGTAATTGTAATTTACAAAACAAGCCCTCCTAAATTCACGAAAAAAAATATCTCGATGTGATTGCAGTTTCCCCAGTTTTTCCTTAACTTCATTTTTGCTTTCCTGCAGTGCTTGTTGCTGGATGTCCTGTTTCCGGTTGTTTTAGATGTGATGGAAGAACCCACAAGCTGCCCTTATTACTCCTTCCAAGGTAGGCAAAACCATGTGCCAACATCCCATTCAGACAGCAACTCCTGGCCATCTTCTTGTCTCCCTTCACATTGTTCTTTTAAGTGAGTCGCATCCATTTTGTGGTTTTTATTTGCCACGGTTGTTAAGCAGATGTCTGCAGCTGTTGACTGAATCATGCAGTTGTTCAGAAAATTCAGCCTCCCCCATTGACCCGGAAGCCAGCTAGGAAGGTCGCAAAGGGTCGAGCAATTGTCAAGTCAAGGGGAAAAGATCATAATGGAGCAGACTTTATAAAAATAACAGGCTCCCGTGTTTTCTTGGAAGACAGCCTGGGCTGTGATCTGGACAAAGGATAGGAAATAAATTGCAAAGATGTTTGAAAACTCTTATGAAATCTTCCTGTCAAAGACAAGACTATGTTGGTTCAAGATGACAAAGTTAATAAATGAGAATATTTGTAGCTCAGGGTTGAGCTGTGGGGTCCTTGGTGCTCTCTGAGCTTGGCTGTTTTCTTGCAAACGTTTCAATACCGAACTAGGTAACACTATCAGTGCTAGAAGGGATTTGGGTTTGCAGAGGGGAGGAGGAGGAAAAGAGGAGAAGGACTGTGGGACTTTGTGCTCTCTGAGCTTGGCTGGGTTTTTTGCAGATGTTTCATTACCCAGCTAGGCAACATCATCAGAACTAGAAGGGAGTGTGGTTTTTTGAGAGGAGGAGGAGGAGGAGTACTGTGAGGTTATTGGTGCTCTCTGAGCTTGTTTTCTTGCAGACCTTTTATTACCTAACTAGGTAGCATCATCAGTGCTGCAAAGGAGTGGAGTTTTCTCTCTGTTTATATACAAGTGAATTTCCCTGTCATTGTAGGTGAGCATGGTCTTGGAGGTTCCACTTGTGGCTACTTAGAGATTCTAGGCTAATCCTCCTTCTAACTCTGCCCCCAATGTGAACTGAGAGCAAACCCCACTCTTTACTAGCACTGATGCGGTTACCTTAATTTGGCTAAAGAAACACTGCAAGAAAACAACTCAGAAAGCACCCAGGACCCCTCATGACCAAGAAGTTTGGAGGAGACCAAGTTTGGAGAAAGTCCAAACTTAAAGAAAAACGACTAAGTACCTAGAACGCAAGAATCGTTTCAACACTGTCTTTAGCAGCTTAATGGATTCCTTGTTGCCTTTCCAGTTTTTTCTCTGTGGCTTCAACGCGTCCGAGAAAGTTTGGACCAACTCTGGAAAGTCAAGGAGAGCCCATTGCTGGGCAACAATTCAACACTTCTCCAAAAGCTAAACAAGATTGTTTGGAACAATGCAGAAAGTCCAGTAAGGCACCATATTTATTTTATTTAAGGGGGAAGGTTTTGTTTTCTTTTTGCTCTCCAGATATCACCCAGCAAAGCTTACGTTGCAAAATGATTGAGCCACACAAAAGCTTCCTTAAATCTTGGAAGAGCTGATGTGGTTTGTCATTCCGTCATTATTTTTTATAATCTGGTTGCTTTGGTTGTTGATACTTTGTGGTGGTTTATCCTTTGATTTTCCAACGCCAAATGATACGTAAGTAAATAAATACTGTTTGTACATGATAATATGGTATACAAACAAAGAGAGCCAGTTTGACATAACGGTTAAGGCATGAAGCTAGAAACTGGGCGATTGGAAAGTCTAATTCTGCCTTTGATTGAAAGCTATCTGGGTGATTTGGGGCTAGTCCTTCTCTTATCCAAAGAAAAAAAGATAATCTTTTTTGATAATCTTGCACAAAAGCTTCTGATAATCTTACACGAAAACTGAAGACCCCAGAAATCAAGTCAAGGCAGATTCAAAACACCAAAAAAAAAAAAAAGTAATTAAATGGAAGAAGATGCAAATAACACACTGAATCAACTAAAAAAATAAATCTAAATTTTAAAAAGAGGCCTTGACTGGATAACAGTAAGAGAGAGAAGACGAGGTCCAAAATATTAATGGTTAATTGTTCCCAAGCTTGTATCATGGTCTTTTAGTCTTGAAATGGAGCGATCTCTTTCCATTTACACCTCTTTTATTTCTCGTTCAACTTCTCTCTCATCCAGACAGAAGGAGTGAGCAATTTTGTCCAGAACTCCTTTCGGATTCTCTTAGAGATCTACAGCCTGGAATGTGATCACTTTGGGGATCCAGAGAGAGCCCTGTTTAGAGAGTACCTGCAAAGAGTTATTTTCATGCCTTGGGAAGCAAGAGCGAGGTACTTCGCACTCAGTGCAATTCTTCCCTACTTGGGCCCCCAAAAGGTAAGTATCTCTTTTGCTATCATCACGGTATATAAAATTGGTTGCCAGGATTGTTCTTGAAATGATCCTCACAATTTTCAGAATTGACTAACTCTCTGTCATATTTGACAGTGAGCGTTAAAAACCATGTGCAGATAGAAAGATACTAGACTGTGCAGAGATGGATAAATCGACATTAAAAATAAAGGACAAGGAAGAAACAGGATATTTTTTAACATGGGACTTGTTTTATCAGTGGCTAGGCAATAGGCACAGTGGCTCAGCGGCTAAGACGCTGAGCTTGTCGATCAGAAACGTCGGCAGTTCGGTGGTTCGAGTCCCTACCGCCGCGTAATGGAGTGAGCTCCTATTATTTGTCCCAGCTTCTGCCAACCTAGCGGTTCAAAAGCATGTAAAAAAATGCAAGTAGAAAAATAGGGACCCTTTTGGTGGGAAGGTAGCAGCATTCTGTGCACCTTCAAAGGCGTTTAGTCCTGCTGGCCACATGACCACGGAGACGTCTTCGGACAGGGAAGGGAAGAGAAGGGAAGAAAAGGAAAGGATTGTTGTTAGTAAATTCCTATCTTAGTCTTTGTTTTTCCTGAAGTTCCTCCCCAACCTGTCCAGATATTAAATATGTCAGGTAAAAGATCCATGGTATTACGGATTCTGGTTATAACGCTTTGTGGATCTTTCTGCCAAGGTTCTGGAGATCTATGCGGATCTCCCTCGACATCTCTTCAACTGCTTGTCCACCAACCGTCTGTGTCCCGTCGCTTCCGATTTGTACAAAACTGTCCTACGACTGCAGCGCCAAGCCTGGACGGAGGAGATGAAGGAAAAAGTCACGGAAGAACAGCTCGCCCACCAGTGGTCCAGGTGTTGGTTACCAACCTTCTCCAGTGCCTTGACATCTTCTGACTCGTTCCTTCAGAGCAACGCCTCCAGCCAGCTTCTCGGGTGGACGCTGAGAGTTTTCCCTGCTTCTTACGCCCTGCTGGCCACAAGATTTGCGGGCGGGGAGGCCCCTCAGCTCCGAACATGGGTCTCCTTGTTGAACGTTCAGAAGAGCCTCGCGGGAGACTTGCTCACTGACGAGGAGACCCTGGAGAGGCTCACCTGCTGCCTCATCTCCCAAGAAGACACTGTCCGTCTGGCAGCCTTGGGCTTCCTCTGCTCGGCTCCCAAGACCAGCCAAGTCTTATTGGAGAAGGAGATCCGTCTCTTAAAAGAATTCCTGCCCCTGAATCTGAGTTGCGATTCCTCTTCGTTTCGGCAGCTCCTTCACGCCACGCTGAAGAAGGCGTTGGTCAGGATGAGGGACAGTTCTCTCGCCATGCTTCGTCAACGGAAGGTCAACCGGGAGGAAAGCTCGGTCAGAAAGGACCAAGAAAGGGATGTCCTCCGAGCTGTAGGTGAGTTAGGTCCTAACCATGTTTAGAGAGGCTGTGCCAGAAACAATGGGTTGAGTTCAGGGGTGGGCTGCTAGGAGTTTGCAGGGATTTGCGAGAGGCCCCTAGCTTAGATTCCGTGCAACCGCCAAATCTCATTCCTGGCTGGCCCCACCCACCCCTCCTCTCCCAGGAGTCCCCACATGGCCCGTTTGGGATGCAGGTAAGTGCAGGGTATGCGCGGAAGCTCAGAGAGAGCAAAAAACAGGCCTCCCAGAAGTTTGGGAAGCCTGGAAAAGGGTCCATTTCTGGCTTCCAGACAGCCTCCAGAGCCTGGGGAGTCCATTTTCACCCTCCTGGAGAGTTGAGGAAAGCCTCCAGAGCCCAGGGAGGGTAAAAGCCCCCCCCACCGCTGTGGTGCAGGAGGCCGTCTAGGCCACACCCACCATGGCCATGCCCACCCAGCCACCGGGCAGAGAACCCATTGCTAAAAATTTTGAAGCCCACCCCTGGTCGAGCTTAGGTTGTCCTCAAATGAAGATCTTGCGTGGGTTGCGAGGATTGTAGCTGACAAACAGCGGAAAGAAAAAAAAAAAGGAACTGTTGACGTGTGGATTTTGAAATTGGCTGAGTTGGCAGAGATGGTGAAATGAACTGGTTGGATTAGAGTTAATGGACTAGACAGCTTTATAAGAGACTGGAAACCGTTTATGGACTTTCTGTGCGCTGAATATAATAACTGAGGGTTAACAGAGGGATTTGAAGATTAGTGAAGCTTTGTTTCTTTCATTTTTGTTAGGATATGTGCAGAGTAATCCTTGCATAAAAAGGATATGCACACAGAAAACTGTTTATCAGAACAGTTATGAAGAAATATACAGCCACACAGGGTTGAACAAGTTGGATTGTTTACTTGAAGAAATAGCACAGTCCAATAAACAGTCCATGTCATACACGTTTTTAACAATCCAGAAATATCCAGTTATAAATTCTTCTTACATCTAGTTATAAAGTCTTCTTACCGGTTCTATGTCTTTTACAGCAGACAAATATCAAACCATAATACAATAAATAACCTTCGATATCAACAGAATATCAAAATAAACAGGGTTAGTCAGTATCGGTCCATAGTCAGTCAGTATCAGTATAAAGAGAGATCATCAGTGCAAAAGAGAGACTTAAACCATGATCCCTCTTATGGCAACTTGTAGCATAATTAACCAATCAGAATACAGCAGAATACATTACAGTGTTTTTCCTTAAAGCTACAAACATATATATTTGTAGTTTATATATTGTCAACCCAACTATGTTATTTACATATACGTAACAATTTTCTTTCTTTCTTGTCTTCTTTATACACACACACAAGTATATAGTCCTCAAATTATGGCCATATTTGGGACCAGTCCTCAAATTATGACCAGAATATCCTCCTCACAGAGAACAGAAATCAAATCTTTCTCCACCCAGATCTTCCCCCAAAATCCTCATTCATCCACCTTTGTGTAGGTCAAGCAAAATATATCTTTCTTTATCTAGACTTCGTGGATTGGCTGCTGCAGCTCTGCATGACATCTCTAATGTCAGGTTCCAACTACCAAAGAAGGAAAACAGCGCTTCTTCTCCTGGCAGCCATCTTGGAGACCTTCACAGACACTTGGAGACCTGAGAGAAAGAAGGGTCAGCCTCCCCGTAAGCGGCTTTGTTCCACCTTCTCCTGCCTAGCGCTGTAAACAAGGGTTGGCCTTCAAATGTCAGATTCTCTCACTCAGCACAAGCCCATGTGGGGGTGTAGCCTTCAAAAATAGGGATCCAATGAAGATTGTGGTGGAATCTCCCCCTAGACTGGAGGGAGGGGTTAAGAAGGGGCTAAGCTTAGAGTTAAAGGAACACGGTGGCTCAGTGGCTAAGACGCTGAGCTTGTCGATCAGAAAGGTCGGCAGTTCGAATCCCCAGCACCACGTAACGGAGGGAACTCCCGTTCCTTGTCCCAGCTTCTGCCAACCTCGCAGTTCGAAAGCATGTAAAAAAAAATGCAAGTAGAAAAATAGGGACCACTTTGGTGGGAAAGTAACAGCGTTCCATGCGCCTTCGGTGTTTAGTCATGCCAGCCACATGACCACGGAGACGTCTTTGGACAGCGCTGGCTCTTCGGCTTTGTAACGGAGATGAGCACCGCCCCCTAGAGCCGGATACGACTAGCACATATTAGGTGTGAGGGGAACCTTTACCTTTACCTTTAAGCTTAGAACCTTGGCACTGCAGAAAGTGGCACAGGAATTCCTGAAGCCTTAACTGACCATTCCTAAGGGAATGCAGTTAGCCTGGTGAGATTCTTGTAACATAGGCGAGTGGCAATGAAGATTCCGCTTGAGACTATTTGTGAGTTGTTCTAGTTGCTTGCACCCGACAAAGGCCTGTGTTGACTCTGTTTATTTGTGTTTACTGTGAATGCATAGTCCTCCATGTTGGAAGATAACATAGTGCAGAGAAGAGCAACTAAGATGATTAAGGGCCTAGAGACTAAAATATACGAAGAATGGTTGCAGGAATTGGATATGGCTACTCTAGAGATAAGAAGGACTTGGCATGACATGATAGCAGCCTTCCAATATTTGAGGGGCTGCCACAGAGAGGAGGAAGGGGGTCAAGCTATTCTCCAAAGCACCTGAAGGCCAGACAAGGAATAATGGATGGAAACTGACCAAGGAGAGATTCAACATGGAAATAAGGAGAAACTTTCTGACAGTGAGAACAATCAACCAATGGAACAGAAGTTGCTTTCAGAAGTTGTGGGAGCTTCATCCCTGGAGACTTTCAAGAAGAGATTGGACTGCCATCTGTCAGGAATGGTGTAGGGTCTCCCACTTGGGCGGGGGGTTGGACTAGATGAAAATATGAAAATATGATGATCTGATTATCTGTTATCTGTTACCTCCAAGGTCCCTTCCAGCTCTATCCTGATTGATTGAAAATGGAGGATGGGTGAGATGTACAAAAGAGATGGACTAGAATAAAATCGAAAAGGATTGGGGTGATGTTTTACTCCCCTACAATTTTCTGTCTATGATCTAGTTCACCAGATGCTCTTCAGATATGCTCCTTCCTTCTTTCCAACCTATATTTTCTACCTCTCCAGGCAACATGGCTATCTTATTACGCTGGGCCACCAGTAAGGGCTACTGGGACTTCTTTTCTACTGGGAACACATTGGCACTGTTGAGCTGCTTGCAGGATAGCACCAATGAGGTATGGAGGTCCACCTCACCTTCGCTAATATTGACCATCCACAATGAAAAGAACTTACAGAGTAGCTTCAAGTATCAGTCAAGTATCTCAGGCTAACTTAGGAAGAACATGCCACGATGGGTCAAGCATTTAAAAAAGGGCAGTGGGAAATTTGTATTTTCAAACTTGCAAGATTTTGTCCATGTAACTTTACAATAAAGTAGAATTAGCCCCTGTGGCCATGTTTTCTGTCTGGTTTACCTCGTACAAGAGCCTTCCAACTTGTCAAGTTTAAGACTTGTGGACTTTCAACTCCCAGAATTCCTGAGCTAACATGACAGGAGGAGGAATTCTGGAAGTTCAAGTCCACAAGTCTTAAAGCTGTCAAGTTTGAAGACCCCTGACCTAGTAACTGATGGACACTAATGCACATTTAATACAATCTCAAAAGCTGATCCCAAAATTGGCTCCAGAGAAGGTTAGGCATCCTTCAACCTTCCCTAATGTTCATTTCTGAACAGAAACTTGAAGAGTATTTCCCAGCTTGCTGGACCCAAGGCAGGGCATCCTGTCACCTGCTAGAGAGGTCTTCTCCTTATGGAGTCTTCCTTCTATCTCCACTCAGATCCGTGAGTTGGCCTCGGAGTTGCTGATCTCTTACTTCCCACCAGCTTTGCCGGGCTCTGTTGCTGGGACTCTCTTTGGGTGGGCCCTAGAAGCTGTGAGCAGTCCCCGGGTTCAAGAGTGTGAGGCAGGAGCAGCGGTGATGAAGACTCTTCTTCCCAAGTAAGACTTTCCTTCCTAGGTCGGTGGGCTTCTTAAGTTGCGTTGCTGAAATAAGGGAAGGAAGGAAAGGAAGGAAGGAAGGAAGGAAGGAAGGAAGGAAGGAAGGAAGGAAGGAAGGAAGGAAGGAAGGAAGGAAGGAAGGAAGGAAGGAAGGAAAAATGGGAGGGAGGGAAGGGTGGGTAGGAGGAAGAAAGGAAGGAAGGGAGGAAAAGGGAGGGAGGAAAAAAGGAAGGAAGAAAAAGAAAGAAAGAAGGAAGGAAAATGGGAGAGAGGAAAGGGTGGGTAGGAGGAAGAAAGGAAGGAAGGGAGGAAAAGGGAGAGAGGAAAAAAGGAAGGAAGAAAAAGAAAGAAAGAAAGAAAGAAAGAAAGAAAGAAAGAAAGAAAGAAAGAAAGAAAGAAAGAAAGAAAGAAAAAGAAAGAAAATGGGAGGGAAGGAGGGAAGGAAAGAAGGAAGGAAGGAAAAAGGGAGGGAGGAAGAAAGGAAGGAAGAGAAAGAAAGAAACAAAGAAAGAAAGAAAGAAAGAAAGAAAGAAAGAAAAAGAGAGAAGGAAAATGGGAGGGAAAATGGGAGGGAGGGAAGGAAGGAAGGAAGGAAGGAAGGAAGGAAGGAAGGAAGGAAAGAAAAAGGGAGAGAGGAGAAAGGGAGGGAGGGAGGGAGGAAGGAAGACAAAATAAATCAGAATAACCGAGTTGAACTTGGTCCATCAATCCAAGAGTTACCATGTTCAGAACCGAGTCTGTTGAGCCAAGTTAACCTCTGCTTAACTCCATTAGATTAGATCGTCATATCTTGCAGCCATCATTGTTGGAAACCCAGAAGGAGCCATCTATGCCGTGCAAACATCTCTCTTTTCTTGAACATTTGCTCAACATGCTCCGGAACCATTTCGTCACAGCTTCTCATGACTTATTGCTGGCAGCTCGCACAACCCCAATACATGGTCAGTATCCAATCCAATAATTGGACTTTCAATTCTACAATAACCCCAAATTAGAGATTTAGTGGTTCTCCACTTTTTATCATCTCTGACTCTTTAGACATGTTGGTTGGGGATAGAATTACAGCTGGACAACCATCGTTCCTCATTAACCTATGACCAGCCTATAGACCAAGGGTCTCCAACCTTGGCAACTTTAAGACTTGTGGACTTCAACTGCCAGAATTCCTCAGCCATTCCTTAAATTCTGGGAGTTAAAGTTGCCAAGTCTTACAATTGCCATGGTTGGAGACCCCTGATATAGACTATAAATAATTGGACCTTCAAATAAAGATTGATACACACATCCCTTCCTTTTTAGGGTGACAATCAGTCCCTTATCCCAGGTTTCTCCATTCTTTCTTTCCCATAACCTCAATTTGCATCCGGTGATTATAGAACACACGTGGTCCTTCATCCATACCACTATCAAAAACTCTTCAAAGAAATCTCAAAGGTGGTTCCCCCACCCGCACCCCCCAAAAAAAGAAAAGAAAAAAAAAGGCAACTGGATTTTCTGGTTTATCTTGAAGACATTTTGCTTCAGTTCTTGGATGAGAAGCGAAACATCTTGAAAGAAAAACCAGAAAGTCCATTTGCCTCTTGAAAAAAAAATAAAGAATTAGAATTCTTTATTGGCCAAGTGTGATTGGACACACAAGGAATTTGTCTTGGTGCAAATGCTCTCAGTGTACATAAAAAGAAAAGCTACATTTGTCAAGAGTCAAGAATCATAAGGTACAACACTCAATAATAGTTATAGGGTACAATAAGCAATCAAATCCTACTAGGAAACAGTCAGTATGAATCGTAAGGATACAAGCGACAAAGTTACAGTCATACAGTCACAAGTGGGAGAGGATGGGTGATAAGGATGGGTGATAAGGAGTGGTGAGAAGATTAATAGTAATTCAGACTTTGTAAATAGTTGGACAGTGTTGAGGGAATTATTTGTTTAGCAGAGAGATGGCGTTCAGGGAAAAACTGTCCTTGTTCTGGTGTGTAGTACCCTGTAGTGTCGTTTTGAGGGTAGGAGTTGAAACAGTTTATGTCCAGGATGTGAGGGGTCTGGAGATATTTTCACAGCCCTCTTTTTGACTCATGCAGTATAAAGGTTCTCAAAGCACCTTTGGGACAACAATGATAGATGTCCCCTTGGTTAGATTCCCCTTCTACAGTTTGGGTTACCTAAGCACTGGCACTTATCAAATGAATTCACGATTCATATGTAGGTTGGATTTCTGAATTTTTAGCGAGTATGATGATGATGGTTCCAGGTCTTCTGTTGGTTTCTTGAAGGGGTGATTTTGGCGTTACGGAGATGCCTGCTTGAAGAACCGGAGGTTGTGTCCTCTATGTTAGAAGCGCAGAAGATGCCACTCTGGCGTTTATTCTTTCAGCATTTGGTGATGACAATGAGAGACATCAGCAATTTACTCTTGAGCATGTTGCAAAGTAATGAAGCATCAAGCACAGACCAACATGGTAAGCCCAAGCCAGCAGAAGGAAAAAAAAAACTAACCAAGATCTTTTAATCCAGTGTTTTTCAACCTTGGTGTCAACTCAGCTTTGGGGAAATTTGTTTTCTTTTTGTGTTGTACCGGTCACCTTCAAGAAGTGAGGGGAGCCAAATGTCAACTCATAAAATATTTCTATGGTCTTTGCTCAGGCAGGAGATCTTATGATGGCCTTTCCCCCTCTCTTATTTTGAGAATCAGAAGTTCTGTTTAGCGAGATAGTTGTCAAAATAAAGTTCCATTAAAAAAAAAAAAGTTGTCTAGTGAAGTGTGATGCAACACACTACCTAACTGCAGAAATTTAATTAAAGTCTTGCATTATGTTAATCCAGGTCTCCTGGAAAATATAGATTATAAACTAACTGGAATTAATAGAAGACAGAACTTGTAGTTCAGGGTTGAACTGTGGGGTCCTTGGTGCTCTCTGAGCTTGGCTGTTTTCTTACAGACGTCTCATTACCCCACTAGGTAACACCATCAGGGCAAATGTGGAATTCCATGTTAACAAACCATTGGCTGATTTTGTTTGGAAAGTTCCATTTGGAAGCATGACTCGGGGTTAAATAATAAGACACGGCCAGGCCAAATAGTCACGTATAACAATTGACTTGTACACTATTAATTAGCAGAACATTTCTAACTTATGTTGATATGCAAAAAGCCACCTCGGGATTATCTTCTTGACGCCTGGCTGAAATCGATCGGCAAAGAATTATACCAACCAAATGTCTTTTTTAATTTTATTTTGTTTGGGGGCAGCTTCATCACCCTCCTTTGCAGACATGGGAAATGCCATCGGCAGCCTTATCCGGCTAGGAAAAGGCTTGGAGGAAGAGGATACAGTTCTCCTCTCCAAAGAACATAGCCTCATTTTGACCTGTTGTTGGGTCTCGGTTAAAGTGAGTAAGTCTGTTAATACTTGAGTTTCTTGCATGAAAGATTTAATCCAGCCTTCTGTGCTGAAAAGGGCACTTATCCTCTTTGATGGACTTTTCAAGATTACACCAATGTCAACTGAAAAATACTCCTCTAGACTTTTTAGCCACCAGCAGAAAGGGGTGGGGGAAAGCAGTGCATTCCTTAAATGCCTCAGATAATCGCTTTGGCAGCCCAAAGCTGTTGGCACGCAAGAATATTACTGGAGAGCATGACTGACGACTCTTGGCTATGGATGTGTCCCAGTGGAGAATATGAATTATGATACACCCAGGGAGTTGGAAGGAAAACCAGGGTCAAGGGGGAAATGAATGATGTATTTTAGTGTTGGCTGCACCCAACTAATGCCAACATGGCCACGCCTAATAAATCAATTTTTTTTTTTTACTCTGAGAGAGTAAAATGTCATAAACATTATAAATACAGTGTATTGTCAGGCCATATCATATACAGAAAAGCAAAAAAAGAAAAAAAAAGGAATATTAACACATACAGTAATAGCAATAATAATAGTGTAACAGGATAGCTTTGACTAAATTTCTCTTTATATTAGCTTATTTGTAATTCTGTTGATTATATTGGCACGTGTATAATTATAAACCGTCTTTATATTTAATTCATACACTGCAATATTTCATTCATCTAATGTCTACCTCTCATCTCCAAGCACTCGTAGAATCTCTTCCACATTAAGTCGTATTCTGTGTCTTCTTTGTCCTTTATTTTTAATGTCAATCTATCCATCTCTGCACAGTGTAATATTTTCCGACTCATCTGATGGAGGGTTCTCGTTTTTACTTTTAACTGTCAAGGAAATTGGGCTGCTTTTGGGAGGCCTTGCGGAGAAAGTTCTACCCTGGCCACTCTCGGCAGGATGTCAGCCTCTCCTGCCTCTTCAGGTTGTCCGCAGGGCTTCCAAGGTGTTCCAAGACATCCTGCTGAAGTGCCGGCATTGGGTAAGAGATCCCTTATGAATTGAACCAAAACAGGCTAGTTTTGATCCTGGTGCATTGCCACGAATGAAATATCGAGTTTGATTCAGGATTCAAGCAACAGATGGAAACTAACCAAGGAGAGAAGCAACCTAAAACTAAGGAGGAAATTTCCCAACAGTGAGGAAAATAGACCGGTGGAACGAACGTCTTGCCTTCAGAGTTATGGGTGCTCCAACACCGGAGGTTTTTAAGATTTATCGTTTGAAATGATGTAGGTCTTTCCTGCCGGAGCAGGAGTTGGACTAGAAGACCTCCAAGGTCCCTACTGACTCTTGTTATTCTGTTATTTATCATTTGGTAGAAGAGAATTAGACTTGGGCTGGTAGAATCTGGTTTTTAGACTTGGTTATCACTTGATTAAAGCTAATTTTCCGCTCTCAGCAACTTCTCCCTGAGAGGTTGTAGAATCACCGACAGAAAGTTCTTGACTTAATGAATTGACGACTGGATTCCCCCCGTCCCAGGTCCATGAATCTGATCTTTGGGGGCTCAACTTTGAGAAGAACTTCGATCAATTCTCTTTTTTCTCCCCTTCTTTTCCTTTTCTGCTAGGGAGCTGTGGAAGGCTGCAGTGTGGGCTTCACAAAGTTTTGTGCCACTCTACTCAGTCACCCTAGCCCAAAGCTACAAAACATCCCACGGACTATGCTCACAGAGGTAGCAACTCATTTACAAACTGCCAGCATGTATTTATTTATTTAAGAAAATTTATATGGCCGCCCACTCACTCTCGGCGACTGAGCGGATTCCAAAATAATGAACATATTACAAGTGGTCCTCCAAAGTATACAAAGATCTCAATTTATGGCAGCCATAAATTAAGGGGAGAGGAAGGGAGGGGAGGAGGGGGAGGGAGAGAGGGAGGGGGAGAGAGGGAGGGGGAGAAAATGAGAGAGAAAGGGAGTGGGAGAGAAAGAGAGAGAGAGAGAGAGAGAAGAAAAAGAAAGAAAAGAAAGGAAAAAAGAGGGGAGGGAGGGAGAGAGAAAGAAAGAAAGAAAAAGAAAAAGAAAGAAAGAGGAGAGGGAGAGAGAGAATGAGAGAAAGAAAGAGAGAGAGAAAGAGAAGGGGAGAGAAAGAGAGAAAGAAAGAAGAAAAAGAAAGAAAGAAAAGAAAGGAAAAAAGAG